CGGAGCCGCTCCGCTGCGAAGCACCACCCCGACCAGCTCCACCTCCTCCGCCACCGCCGCCTCCACCTCCGCCACCACCGCCGCCTCCGCTCCCACCGCTACCGCCTCCGCCGCCTCCGCCTCCGCTGCTGCCACCACCACCTCCACCCCCGCCACCACTCCCACCGCCACCCCCACTCCCTCCACCGCCTCCACCGCCATCTCCACCACCCCCGCTAGCTCCACCCGCGCCCTTGCCCCCCTTGCCCTTGCCAGAGCGGCGTCTCCCGCTAGGGGCAGACGCCGCACCGACCGACTCAAGACCAACGAGGTCGGCCGCAGCAGCAGAGGCGACAGAGAGCAATAGGGGGGAAGGGGAACACCCCTCAAAGATGGGGGTGCGAGGGTCACCACGAGAGGCTCCTACAGTGACTATGCTCTTCTCCGCTGCTAGGAGGGCCTTCTCTAGGAGGTCAACAGTGAGAGTGGTGGGACAGACTGAGAGGAAGTGGTCACTGACTACGCGAAGGGAGTCAGGGAGGTGGGTGACTATATAATAGAGAGTGATGTACATGGGGGGGGGGGTTCTTGGCGCAGAACTCAGCAGGAAGCGCGGCGCGGTAGCGAGTGTCACTAGTGCGGAGGTGCGTAGTGAGGTCAGCGACTGTGGGAAAGGCAGCAAGGTCAGGGAAGAGGTACGGTAGCATGAGGCGGCTCTGTGCTGCAGTGGCAGGGGAAGAGTAGCGCGCAACTACAGCGTCCTACAAGGTCTGAGCACTCTTGTACTGACTAAAGTGCGCGCGCTCAGTGGTAGGCAGGTGGCGACGCACAGCAAGACGTGCAGCACCATCGCGCGTGGCCCACTGGGAGCGAACAGTGGGGTCAACATCAGCAGCAGGGGCAGGAGAGGCGCCAAAGGTGGGGTCAAAGAGGGAGAGACCGTCTGCCCTATCGCACTGTAGGAAAAGCTGCAGGTCATCTACCCAAACCTCAAAGTCAATGGCTCGACCCTCAGCGTCAAAAGCGAGAACACTGGGGGTAGCCATGACAGCAGTAGACTAGCAGTACCAACTGTAGGACAGGGGCAGTGCAGTGACAGAAGCGCTGCTCTCACCGGACAGGGCGGGTCGGGCAGCTCAGCAGTACAGCAACACGGCAACACGGCTGCTCGGAAGGCTCAGCAGCAACTGCGGCTCTGTGGTGCCAGCGGCTCGGCTCCTCAGGCGGCTCGGGCGGCTCAGGTGGCTCGGACGGCTCGGGCGGCTCGGGCGGCTCGGGCGGCTCGGGCTGGTCGGGCGGCTTGGGCGGCTCAGGAGAGTCGGGCGTCTCGGGCGGCTCGGGCAGCTCGGGCAGGTCGGGCGGCTCGAGCGGCTCGGGCGGTTCGGGCGGCTCGGGCGGCGCGGGCGGTGTAGGGCGGCAGGGCCGCTGGTGCGAGGGGCGGCGGGGCCGCTAAGTAGGGCGGCGGGGCCGCTGAGAAGGGCGGCGGGGCCGCTGCGGAAGGGCGGCGGGGCCGCTGAGTAGGGCGGCGGGGCCGCAGTAGAAGGGCGGCGGGGCCGCTGATTAGGGCGGCGGGGCCGCTGAGTAGGGCGGCGGGGCCGCTGAGTAGAGCGGCGGGGCCGCTGAGTAGAAGGGCGGCGGGGCCGTTGAGTAGGGCGGCGGGGCCGCAGCGAGGGAGGCAGCGGGGCCGCAGCGAAGGGCGGCGGGGCCGCTGAGATGGGTGGCGGGGCCGCAATGTGGGGCGTCGGGGCCGCCGAGAAGGGCGGGGCCGCAGCGACGGGCGGCGGGGCCGCAGCGACGGGCGGCGGGGTCGCGGAGACGGGCGGCTGGGCCGCAATGCGGGGTGACGGGGCCGCTGAGAAGGGCGGGGCCGCAGCGACGGGTGGTGGGGCCGCTAAGTAGGGCGGGGCCCGCTGAGAAGGGCGGCGGGGCCGCTGAGACGGGCGGCGGGGCCGCACTAAAGGGCGGCGGGGCCGAATCGACGGGCGGCAGGGCCGCTAGGGGAAGGGGCCGCTAGGGCGATAGGGCCGCTAGGGCGTAGGGGCCGCTAGGGCGGCTCGACGAGGTGAGAGCCCGGAGCGCGACTCGGGCGGAGCGCGCTTCGGGCAGGAGAAAAAAAATTGTAGAACGAGAATGAATTGACTAAGGAATGGGAGTGATACAAATGTGCAACCCTAGAAATGTGTACCCCATATAGACTACCCCACTATAGCCTACACAATATTATAATTTGACATAGACTACGCTCCTAGTCTTGTTGCTGAGTTTGATTCTGTCTGTCCTCCGCCCGTCGGGGGTGAGTGTGCTCTTGGCACGGACGTCCTTGAGGACAGACAGGAGGACCTTGAGTGTCTTGCGGCCGCTGCGCCTCATGTCGTGGCCATGCTGCTTGCCCCTAAGGGAGACCCGGATGCACCAGACATCCCGACCCCGCGCTCTTACGCTGAGGCGATCGCGGGTGAGTACTCTTCTCAGTGGCATACAGCCATGGACGTAGTGATGGCATTCTGGAAGTCCACAGGCACGTACGTCGATGAGGTTCTCCCTCCCGGGGCGAACATCGTCGACGGCATGTGGATTTTCAGGGTGAAGCGGCCGCCAGGTTCTCCGCCTGTCTTCAAGGCTCGTTACGTTGCTCGAGGCTTCAGTTAGCGAGAGGGAGTTGACTTCTTCCAGACCTTCTCCCCAACCCCGAAGATGACCACTCTTCGGGTGCTGCTGCAGGTTGCCGCTCAGCGTGACTACGAGCTTCACTCTCTTGACTTCAGCACAACTTTCTTACAGTGCAGCCTGCACGAGGAGATCTGGCTGCGCCGCCCGCCTGACTTCACTGGGTCGTTCCCTCCTGATACCCACTGGAGCCTCCGGCGGCCGGTCTACGGTCTCCACCAGGCGCCACGTGAGTGGCACGACACACTGAGGACGACACTTGCGGCTCTTGGGTTTACTCCGTCGACTGCTGACCCGTCGCTGTTTCTGCGCACCGACACTTTGTTGCCGCCGTTCTACGATCTCGTGTACGTCGACAACTTGGTCTTTGCCACTGTTGACACTGAGGCTCTCGCCGTGGTGAAGTCGGAGCTGCAGAAGAAACACATGTGCACAGACCTGGGTGAGCTGCGCAGTTACCTTGGCTTGCAGATCACCCGGGACAGAGCACGCCGCACCATCACACTGACTCAGTCACACATGGTGCAGCTGGTCCTTCAGCGCTTCGGCTTCACCTGGTCCTCGCCACAGGCCACTCCTCTGGCTACAGGCCACTCGCTCTCAGCTCCACCTTCGGACGAGTTCGTAGAGCCAAGTGGTCCTTTCCGAGAGCTAGTGGGTTGCCCCATGTACCTGATGACCTGCACTCGTCCAGACCTTGCGTACCCTCTTGGCCTTCTTACTCGCTACGTGGCTCCTGGTCGGCACCAAAAGGTGCACATGGATGCTGCTAAGAGGGTACTGCGCTACTTGTGCAGTACATCGGGCATGGGGCTCGTGCTTGGAGGGCGGGGTCCAGTTGTCCTCACTGGGCACTCAGACGCTTCTTGGGTTGACGACTAGGCTGCACAGCGATCGTCACAGTGTTACTCGTTCAACCTTGGTTCCGGCTCTGTTTCTTGGCGGTCTACACGCTCGTCTTCTGTTCTCAGCTCCAGTTGTAAGGCTGAGATCTACGCCACAGCCATGGCTGCACAGGAGTTACGCTGGCTCACCTACCTACTGACCGACCTGGGAGAGCAGCCTCGTTCTCCTCCAATTCTGTACGTAGACAACAAGGCCGCCATTGCCTTGTGTCTGGAGCACAGACTGGAGCACAAAACGAAGCACATTGCTCTGCGTTACTTCCTGGCTCCAGAGTTGCAGCAGCGGGGTCAGCTTCGCCTTGCTCACGTGGCTACTCGGGCCAACACTACTGATATATTCACCAAGGCACTTCCGTCTGGTGACCATCAACGCTTTTGTACTTTGTTGGACCTTGTGCCTACGTTTCCACACTTACTGTAGTCTCTGCTTGTACTGTGATCTATAAATATATGTACCTGCATGCTTGCTCTTGCTGGTAGAGATCACTGTACTGTTCTTGTTGCGTATATACCTGTGCATGTGAACTGGCCTTGTGGCCGTTTGCTTGTGCTCAGTGTGTGTGGTGACGTTGTGATCCACCCTGAGCTTGTTTTACTTTCCTTGACTGGTCTTGTGACCTCTTGCTCTCCCCCACTTTGCCTATGGGGGTGTGTCAAATATATGTATATGTTATATTTCTAGGTAGGCTATAGTGGGGTAGATATTGTGGGGTACAACCCGTTAGGTTTCCTTCTTGCACCAAAAAAACCACTCGATAGTCAAACTCACTTCTGCCTAGTCTCTAAGAGTTACCACCCGAAGTGGAGCATATCCGTCGCGATCCAGAGGGGAGGTTTTGCGACGTTGTTCCATGATTGGCCAGCGACAAAACCAGTCATACTGAGTGAAGGGTCGGAGGGCAATGGAGCACTGTTCACTTTCAGTAAACTTGAAATCCATGTTGTACTAAATGGCAGGCATATTGAAAGCCTACATTTACTTAGTTCACATGTTTTTCATGCCCAAACTTTCTCCGTATCACTCCTTTTCTTCGTAGCTCTCAGCTATATTAGTACAGCAGCCTATTTGGTGACAAATACGAACAGGCAATCATAAAACGGATGATGCGCAGCGTCTGGTGGGTGTCTGGGTAACCCCGGACGGTGATGGGAAGCAGACTTGGGACCTGGCGATGGGCGACATAACAAAGAAGCTGGTCAGCTGGAGGAAAAAATACCTCACGGTTAAAGCAAGATCGGCGGTGGTAAATAGCTACATCCAACTGAAGGTGGCATCTCAAGCCCCCTGCTGAGACTTGTGTTGAAACAGAGAGACTGCTGCACAACTTCATTTCTAGGAATAACGCCGCGCCAGCCAAGCGTTTCCTGCTGTGGAGCAAGGATCTACTCTACACAACGAGAGGAGAAGGAGGTATAGGTGTGCAAGACCCGGCAATCGTCTTGGCGTGTATGTCGGCCAGGTGAGTTGGCTTGCTCATGACGGAGACAGATCGCTTGAAGCACGCTTTAATCATTCAAGTGGCTGACCTCTTAGTGGGCTTGAATTCCTTCATGGCGCATGACAATCTCCTGAAAAATTGGGAGGGGAGGAGTCAACGATGGAAGCAGTCATGCGAAAGTTTCATGGAATCACCACTGAGCATCAGCCCGGTGGTGACCACGACGGAGGACGCGGCGAGAGAAAGGCTGGTGCTTAACAGATAAATCTTGGTGGGCATGGCCACGCCGGTGGGGGGGCAACTGGATGCTGAGCGACTATGGGAAATAAGGCTTGGCAACCTTGTACGGCAACCGAAGGGCGGCGCTCCGGAGCTCAAGCCCAAGGAGCTACTAGCAGCTGAGCTAGGAGGGACTGGGCCTACTAAATTGGCGCTGAAAGCTTTCGCTACAGCACCGGAGGAATTGAGGAGATTGCTGCTAACCCCAGCTGCTGAGAACTCGGCTAGCTCGGACCCTGGGGAGAGAAGGTTGAGGCTGCCAATTTTCTAGGACGGGCAGGTTGTCTCGATGAAAGAAAATGAAGAGTAACTAGGGGGGAGGTCCCTGCACGCGCACATGAGACAGAAATGGGCCGAACGTTGGAGCGGAACAATTAACCGGTGAAGGGTGATTGACACGCGGGAATCACTGGCAGTGCCCAGTCGCCCAAGGGACGTTCTCACGCGCGTGCATTGCATGAATTTACAAGTCGGCGAAAGGCTGGCATTTCTTAGCTCTAAGCCAGTCTGCTCGCACTGTGCCGAAGTGGAGTTAGTAGAGACTTGCCTTTTTTGCCTGCCCGCCCATCCAAGTGGTGGTGACACCGCTGAAGCGTGCACTTCACCTGATTAACCTACGTCGCAAGGTGGCCTCGCTGGGTCGGAGATGTCCCATTTATACAATAACTAGAGAGCTCACATGCGTGTGCGGTGCGCACCCAACCGGATATAGTTACTCGCGCGACGGCAACACGTGCCTGCACGTCACAATTTCATCCAACCCCCCAGGCGTCTAACCCGGGTTGCGCATCTAGACGGTCGCACGGTCGAGGGTCAAGTATATCCCTTCCGACTGTTGCTCTCCCTTCCGCCGTCGCTCTCCCTTCCGCCTGTCGCCCTTCACTCCCCCTCATCGCCCTGCCTTCCGTCAGTCGCCCACCCTTGTTCCCGTCGCCCTCCCTTCCCGTCGCCCTCCCTTCCCGTCGCCCTCCCTTCCCGTCGCCTTCCCTTCCCGTCGCCCGCGCTTCTTCTCATCGCCCTCCGTGCTTCTCGTCGCCATCCCTTCCGCTCGTCCCCTCGCTTTCCCTGTCTCCCTCTCTCCCCGTCGCCCTCGTTTCTCCCTCCCCGTCGCCCTCGCTTTCCCCGTCGCCCTCGCTTTCCCCGTTGCCCTCGCTTTCCCCGTCGCCCTCGCTTTCCCCGTCGCCCTCGCTTTCCCCGTCGCCCTCGCTTTCCCCGTCGCCCTCGCTTTCCCCGTCGCCCTCGCTTTCCCCGTCGCCCTCGCTTTCCCCGTCGCCCTCGCTTTCCCCGTCGCCCTCGCTTTCCCTCCCGTCTCCCTTCCCATCTCGCACACTTGCCACCCTCCCTTTTCTCTCCCTACTCCCTGTTTTCCCTCCCTCCAATAATCGCCTTCCTTCCCCCAACTTATACCCCTTCCTTGCTTCCCCCGATCTGCTTCCCTGCTTCCCCCCATCCCCTGCCCTGCTTCCCCCCATCCTCTTCATTCTTTCCCCGTATCCCCAGCCCTGCTTCCCCCATCCCCTTTTCTGCTTCCCCACCTCCCCTGCCCTGCCCACACCCATCCCCTTCCCTGCTCCCCCCCATCCCCTTGCCCTGCTCCCCCCCATCCCTTCCCTGCTCCCCCCCATCCCCTTCCCTGCTTCCCCCCATCTGCTTCCCTGCTCCCCCCCATTCCCTTGCTTGCTTCCCTCATCCCCTGCCCTGCTTCCCCATGTCCCCTTCCCTGCTTCCCCCCATCCCCTTCCCTGCTTCCCCCCATCCCCTTCCCTGCTCCCCCCCATCTCCTTCCCGGCTCCCCCCCATCCCCTTCCCTGCTTCCCCCCATCCCCTTCCCTGTTCCTCCCCATCCCCTTCCCTGCTTCCCCCTATCCCCTTCCCTGCTTCCCCCCATCCCCTTCCCTGTTCCTCCCCATCCCCTTCCCTGCTTCCCCCCATCCCCTTCCCTGCTTCCCCCCATAATCTCTGCCCAGGTGTCCTTCCTATCCCTTCCGCTGGCAGATTTCCCCCTCGCTCGTTGGGAAAATGCCCGTCGCAAGTGCGGGCGCTGCGTGTCGGCCGGCCTTTCTCATTCTGTTCCGCCCACCCTCTCCCATTCCGTTCTGCCGCCATCTTTCATTCTTCCCACCCTCTCTCTCCCTCCTCCCGCACTCTCTCTCTCCTCGCACCCGCACTATCTCTCTCCTTCCTTCTGCACTCTCACAATCCTTCCCACCACCCTCAGCCCTCCTTCCCCCCACCCTCTGCCATGTTCCCACCTGCCCTGCCCTCCCTATCCCTGCCTTTCCCTCCCTGCCCTGCGCTTCCTTTCCCCATCCCTTCTCAACCCTTCCCTTCCTTTTCATGCCTTCCCCTTCGCCCTTACTCCTCACCTACCACTCTCTAGTTCCCATGCACGTGGACCCATCACTGTCTTCCCGTACACGCTTTCATCATGTGCCCTTGCTGTTGCCGTTGGTCCCTTGCACCTCACACCACCTCCCCCATGTTCCTTCACACAATTCTTTCTGCCTTCTCCATTCCCCTATTTTTCAGTGGTGAAGCAAAGGAGCAACAATTGCTAGTTGAGGCGCAGCTAGTCGATGCTTTACACCGTAACACCACCTGTTACGTGTCTGTTATATGCGCGCATCGTACTGTATTACTGTTGGAGATATGCATCCCAAAGGCACACTACCGTATCCCCCCGGATATACCCCCATGGGGGGCAGTAATAAAACAGGTTTTTTCATGGGGGTGGGCTTATAATCGAGTAAATTTATAAGCGCCAGCGTTTATAAAATGACATACACATTTTTTTATATCTTTTAACACCAAACTGTAGGTCTCGTGCTTGCCTTTTCAATCGAGTCGAAGTTACATGGGATCGTCTGTGAAATTCTCGCGCGCGCTGGGAGATACACCCAATCTGACTCACATCCAGCTCCTGACAGGTCCTGCTGACTGGACCCGCATCCAGTGCAGGGTCCGAATGTGAAGGGAACCGAATCTGCAACATATCCGCCTGCTAAAGTAAAAATCGTTACAGCTTTTTGAACACATTTCAAATTTTAAAGTTTACGTGCGCTTATAATAAAACAAGTTTTTTCAAGGGGTGCGCTTATAATCGAGGAGGGGATATAAGCGCCATATGCCAATTAGAAGCGCCAGGCGCTTATCCTAGGGTGGCGCTTATATCCGGGGGGAGACGGTATGTACGGTACTTTTGTTTCTGCAGTGCAAGATATTCTTCTAAGATGCATAGGCATGTACGCATGTTTTAATACTTATGATTGTAGGCAAGGGTCAAGGGAAGCAATACGTATACGACTGAACCTTTCTCAAGGCCCTGAAAAAAAAACAGGAGGGGAACTGTAACTCTACGAGTTTGGGATGGGATGATGGGTTGAGGTGAGTTGAAGTACCAGAAAAATCTTCAGTGTAGTTACTGCAATAGCCAGGGGGAAGGAGAGAATACAAGGAGGGAAATGAGGTGAAGCAGGGAGGGAAATGAGGGGAAGCAAGGGGGGAAATGAGAGGAATCAGGGGGGGGAATCAGGGGAAGCAGGAGGGTACAAACATGGAAAGCAGGGAGAAAAATGGGGTGAAGCAGGGAGGGAAATGAGGGGAAGCAGGGGAGTAAATGAGGAGAAGCAGGGTGGAAAATGAGGGGAAGCAGGAGGGATAATGAGAAAAAGCAGAGCTCGAAATGAGGGGAAGGAGGGGGAAAAATGAGGGGAAGGAGGGGGGGAAATGAGGGGAAGGAGGGGGGGAAATTAGGGGAAGCAGAGGGGGAAACAATGAGAGCAGACGAGGAAACGAGGGGAAGCAGCGGGGTAAATGAGGGGAATGAGGAGAAAGGGAAGCAAAGGGAGGAATGAAGGGAAGTAGAGCAGGAAACGAGGGGAAGCAGTAGGGTAAAAATTAGGGAAATCAGGGGGGAAATAGGGGAAGCAGAGGGGAAAATGAGAGGAAGCAGGGGAGTAAATGAGGGGAAGCAGAGGGAAGAATGAGGGGAAGCAGGCGGAGAAATTAGGGGAAGTAGGGGAGGGGAAGGAGAGGGGGGAACGAGGGGAAGCAGACGGGGAATGAGGGGAAGCATAGGCAAAAATAAGGGGAAGGTAACACGTGGGAATGAAAGTGCAGGGAAGCGAGGGCAAGGGATGGGCAGGTGGGTGGAGGGCAGCGGGAGTGGAGGCGCGAGGAGGGGCAGCGCGACGAGGGTGCAGGTGCACTGAAGGCAGGGGATGCGTGGCGAGGTGAGCGAGGTGCGGGGAGGCGAGCGGAGGCGCTGCGAGGCTAGCGGAGGCGCTGCGAGGCTAGCGGAGGCGGGGCGAGGCTATCGGAGGTGCGGCGAGGCTAGCGGAGATGCGGCGAGGCGATCGGAGGCACGGCGCCGCGAGCAGAGGCGCTGTGAGGCAAGCGGAGGCGCGGCGAGGCGAGCGGAGGAGCGGCAAGGCTTGCGGAGGCGCGGCGAGGCTAGCGGAGACGCGGCGGGGCGAGCTGTCAGATTTACATGACATAGTTGCTGTAGGCTATAGTGGGGTAGCACATATGGGGTACAGGGTTTCTAGGGTTGTATTTGTACCCAATCTTTCCTTAGTCATTCTCATTCCTGTTTACTTGTTTCACACGAGCGGCGGCGCGACTAACGGAGGCTCCCAGGAACTGAGGGTCGGCGTGACGATGGGACAGGAGGCGCGGCGAGGTGAGGCGCGGCGACGGGAGGCGAGGCAATGGGAAGCGCGACGAGGGGAAGAGCTCGATGAGGAAGGGGAGGCTAGACTTGTAGAGCGGCTACGTATTCTACTCTTTGATGCGCTGTCGAGATGCTTTTTCTTCGTATATTGTTTATAGCCCGAAATTAGTGAGGTTGGGCTTACACACTCCATGGTTTCTCATTCGGTTGGGTTGGTTCGTCGCACGCTCCAACTGATGTTGAGTGACGACTGCACAATCTCCTCATTGCTCATTTCGCTTTCGCCACGCCCATCTTCCCGAAGTGAACCTTTTTTTCATTTCGCCAATACGGTTAAAGCCCTTTAATAGTTTTGGCAAAAGCCATGCTGACTTCGGGCTTTAAAGTGGCAGTCTACATTCATCGGGGTATTTTGGGGGGTAATTTAAAGCCCGAGGTCAGCATGGTAATCTTTCAAGTTATGTGAGGTTGAAATAGTGTTGGCGAAACCTTGGAAACAAAAATTTCGGCAGTTAGTGTAGCGAGAAAGACAGCGAGTGACAAAGGGGAAAGGGGTCTCGCCAAACGTGACGTGATGGTGAACGATAATGTGCAGCTTGCCAAACTTGCAGAACAAAGAACTGCGACTGGAAGGAGTGTCGCAAGGATTTTTGCTCAGCCAATCAGGTTCAAGTTGGGGAGAACGTCCACACACAATGCAACTACACCTCTCCCTCGGCAGTTTCAACACCCGCGCTGCGGGGGGACCTGTTTGTCATTTTGGGGCTTGTTGAAATTGGAGGGAACCAAGCAGTTCCCTCCAATTTCAACACCTCGCCCCGTGATATTTACAGGCTGAGTCAGAGTTGTAAATGCCCCGCTGACTAGGATTCACGCGGGCATTTCTTGAGGGGCTTGGAATCACTCGTACAAGCCCCTTGCGATTGTGTGATTTCGTATAGAGGGATATTTTTTGCGTGTCAAAAACTACAAAAACCTCATAAACCAAAACAAAAAAAATAACCATTCTAATGTAAATATAAATTGTCATTAAGGTTTCACATTGAAAGCATTCCTGAAAATACGAATTACCATATCAAACGCAGCAAGCAGCACGAATCCACACACGATCCTCAGAAATCACACCATGACGTCAGCGCAAGGGTTCATGCTCAAACAAAGGCCCCAAGATCCTTGCCATTCGCGAGTTTGTCATCATCTCCTCCAACACGCGCAATGCCCACGCACGCAAAGACGTGTCACTAGACTGCTCAGGGGGGGGAGCATCGTTCATATCAAATGGTTCCCCACATCCATGGGGGAATGGTAACCAACGGCCAACACGTGCCCTCCTTGGCTCGTTCTCCCAAGACCCATGCGTGTGAAGCAAGTTGTCGCACGCAATGAATTGGCGGGCTGTATAGACGTGCCATCGATGTTTAGCTTCCCAATGAGCTTGGCTAATGAAGTCACATTATCGTTGGAAGGGTCGATGAAAGGCCCCTCAAATATACTTGCAAGGCCCCACTCCTCCAACCACGTATACAGTACAATTCCGACCCTCCGCCAACAACGACGCACGATATCAAACTCAAAACTTTGCCATGCACCACTAATCCACGTGATCGCCGTACGCAAGTCCGTGCGAAGGTCCTTCTTAGTGGTTGGTATGTCACGCCCTTCACCGACATCGATTTCCACCTCCTCACCTTTACGCCCCGCATCCGCCTCTATGGTGCCCGCTTTGTCATACTTCTCTAACAACCACTCCACAAACATCTTTCGATATCTCAACTTGAGTGTCGAGATAACACCTTGGTCTAGTGGTTGGACGTGGGACGTACAACTGGGAGGCATGTATAGAACGCGGACGTTACCAACGTCTACATACTTCATTCCGTAGGTGAACCCCTCGATGGCAAAGTCAAGGTTGACGATGTTGTGGGAGGACTTGTTGTCCACAAGCAAGATCACCTTCAAATGTGTCAACCCATTGTGTGAATATCTATGATGGGGTGCGACGGAAATGGAAGAAAAGCATCACAAATAAGCCATGCCACTCTCGTTTCAATGGCATAGTGACAAAAACATAATGGCATAACGACACGTTGCCTTACACATCAATCATTACCTCACTAGTCATCCAAGCTTTCTTGTTTGCTCGGTACCAAACGAAGTCCTGCACGTGGAAATTGTTCTGGAAGGATCGCAGTCGTACCGACTTTCCGATGACGATGGGCCTCCTAAAATCGGAACCGTCGGCGTTCACGCAAAGTCCTAGCGTAAACCTCTCCTTGTCCAACTT